AATCATTCCTAAATCATTCATAAATCATTCCTAAACATCATGAGGTCCTTCCAAACACCAATCAAGTCCTTGAATCCATAATCCAATTCAAGTGAAGTTAGTTTCCAATTCAAGTGAAGTTAGTTTCCGATTCAAGCGAAGTCAAGCTTAGAAGTGAAGTTAGTTTCCGATTCAAGCGAAGTCAAGCTTAGAAGTGAAGTTAGTTTCCGATTCAAGCGAAGTCAAGCTTAGAAGTGAAGTTAGTTTCCGATTCAAGCGAAGTCAAGCTTAGAAGTGAAGTTAGTTTCCGATTCAAGCGAAGTCAAGCTTAGAAGTGAAGTTAGTTTCCGATTCAAGTGAAGTCAAGCTTAGAAGTTAAGCAAGTCAAGGCAAGTCGTTAAAGCTTTTCAAAGAGTCGTTATTGAACGTCTTAACGTCGTTTCAAGTCTCAAGTCGAGTTAAGAGTATCAAGTCTTAAGTTAAGTTAAGAGTTTCAAGTCAAGTCAAAAGTAAAGGGTTCAAGTAAAGTAATGAGTAATGAGTCGAGTCCATTTCTCCAAAGTTATTAGGGAACTATGTACTTCCCAAAGAAGTTTCTAAATGTTTTTACATTTAAGTAAGAAAGGAAATCATGTCTTCCAAAAGAGCCGTTGGGCTAAGCTTTGAGTAATTATCTCAAACTAAAGAAAGAAGTTATTTTAAAAGCATGAGCCAAAGTATTTTTGGGAGTAGTATTGAGCACCGAATTGGGGACACGAGTTCATATTAACTCAACTCTCCATAAGAACCATGCGCCAACATGGGACTTGACGTATCATTCTTTTTAGATGATCACGTAAGATTAGGCTAGTGGATCCACTAAGCAAAAGTAAGGTCCTATATCACGGCAAGGTATAGGATGGTCCTCGGGCAACGTGAGGTAAAACGTTGTATCATCACTAAGGCTCGTAGTGGTGGTTGTCGGTTAAAGAACCTCCCACAAAAGCTATGTTACTTCTATATAAGTAAAGTGAGTTTGTTATCGTTTTATCCTTAACGAACTAAGTTGTTCACATTGTTTTTACAAGCTTTATATGTATTGCATGTGTCTTATTGCTTTACATTGAGTTCGGTTATTCATGAGTCGTTCAAAGTCAAGGTAAGTGTTCTCTTGTGCTCCCTTAAATCTTAAGTTGTGGTTTAGTATTTCCAGCTCGCATACTCGTACATTCCATGTACTGATGCCAGTTGGCCTGCATCGTCTTATGATGCAGATACAGGTACCCCGGATCAGCATCCTGCACGTCGTTGATCCAGCTGAGCACTCCAGAGTCAGTGGTGAGCCTCCTTGCTTTTCGGAGGACTCGAGGCTCGGGGCGTGACATAGATCCCCTCAGGATGAAATGATTTTATTCACCAATGTAATGATACAAAAATATACAAAAACAATAGTGTCAGTGAGCCACTAAACAGAAGCAAAGTACACAAATATTTAATTGTGCAGAAGAAGAAGAAGAAGAAGTTCAAAGTACACAAATGTTTAATTGTGCAGAAGAAGAAGAAGAAGAAGTTCAAAATTTTCGTTGTTTTAAAATGAGAGGAAATCCCTCTATTTATAGACAACAAAGGGTAGTGTGAACAAATTCTTATTGTGCCTTACCGAAAAGGTCACAATTCTTTGGAAAAATCACAACTCTTCATAAAAGTCACAATTTTTCATAGAAGTCACAACTTTTCAATAAAAGTCACAACTTCTAATAAAAGTCACAACTTTTCAGGACAGGAAAAGGCTAATTTTGGAAATGAATAAATTAAAAGAGAATCCTTGTTTGTGGTGGAGCCACATAGGCGAGCCTAGGGTTCTCTTTTATATATATGATATATGATAGTAACACTTTTATTTAGTTTCTAAACATGTAATTTCCATAAAAAATGAAAACAAAACAATTTCTAACGTCCCACAAATATTTTGCTGACTCTCATAATATAAAGGAGTAAATTAAACAATTTCTTTCTGTGTCCTGAATAGATGTTTTTGCCGTTTCTACGATGGCTAGATCTTAGAGGCTCTAAAGGCCTGATGCGAACACCAGATTTCACGGGGATGCCAAATTTGGAGTATTTGAATCTGAGTGGATGTACGAGTCTTAAAAAGGTTCACCATTCCCTGGGATGTTCCAGAAAACTCATCCGGTTAGATTTGTCTCATTGTAAAAGCCTTGAGAGGTTTCCATGTGTCAACGTGGAATCTCTTGAATATCTGACTCTACAATATTGCTCTAGTTTAGAGAAATTTCCAGAAATCCTCGGAAGAATGAAGCCGAAGTTAGACATTTCTGTGGAAGGCTCCAAGATGAGAAGTCATTTCCCTGGTTGGCTTACAGTGCTAGATTTGAGTTCTTTGAAAAACCTTGTATCACTTCCAAGTAGCATTGGCATGTTGAAAAGCTTGGTGAAGCTAAATATATCGGGTTGCTCTAAGTTTGAAAGCCTTTCAGAAGGGATAGGAGATTTAGGAAACTTGGAGTCCCTTGATGCCAGCTATACTCTAATCTCACAACCTCCATCTTCCATTATCCAGCTGAACAAGCTTAAATCATTGAGTTTTGTAAAACAAAAAACAGGAGGAGGTCTCGTAGATGGGGTGTTCTTTGTTTTCCCTCACATGAATGAAGGGTTACGCTCATTGGAAGAGCTGGATCTCAGTTACTGAAATTTAATAGATGGAGGACTTCCGGAAGACATCGGATGTTTATCCTCTTTGAAAGAATTGCATCTTAATGGAAATAATTTTGAACATTTGCCTCTAAGCATAGCCCAACTCGGTGCTCTTCGATCCTTGGACTTATCAGAGTGCAGGAGGCTTAAAGAGTTTCTAGGTTTTAAGGTAGCTGAAGGGTTAAGCTCTTTGCAAATTTTGGAACTCAGTAACTGCAATATAATAGATGGAGGACTTGTAGAAAACATTGGATCCTTATCCTCTTTAGAAATGTTGTTTCTCAATGGAAATAATTTTGAGCATTTGCCTCAAAGCATAGCCCAACTTGGTGCTCTTCGATTCTTGGACTTGTCAAACTGCAAGAGGCTTGCACAGTTGCCAGAATTTCCACAGCAATTAGATACAATAGATGCAGATTGGAGCAATGATTCAATCTGTAATTCGTTGTTTCAGAATATCTCATTATTGCAGCATGACATCTCTGTTTCAGATTCCTTGTCACTAAGACTGTTTATGAGTAGGGTGGAGACATGGAATATTCCAAGTTGGTTCCACCATCAAGGAATGGATACAGATATATCAGTCGATTTGCCTGAGAATTGGTATGTATCGGATAAGTTCTTGGGATTTGCTGTATGTTACTCTGGCAAATTAATTGATGACATCACAGCTCATTTGTTTTCCTTATGTGATGATGGGATATTGTCGATGTCCCGGGAACTTGCCTTATCCAACCATTCAGAATATCCTGATGAATCTGATATTCATTTTTTCTTGGTACCTCTTGGTGGCTTATGGGATGCATCTAATGCAAATGGAAAAACACCAAATGACTATGGCATTATCAGTTTAGGATTCGGAGAAAAGAAGAAATTTGGAGTTCGTTTGTTGTATAAAGATGAAGCTGAGCTTTGCAATGGGATAAGATGATGATAGTGAACACCATGAAGAGGCCAGTTGCTCCTCATCTAAGAAACACAGGTAACAAGTAGATTAAATATAGGTATATACCTCAGGAATGTGTTGTCTCTTTATGTATAAATTATTTCTTCTCATATTGGCAGGAGCTCATCAATGGGTGAAGCTGAGGTTCGTTTTCCCTCGTGATCTCTTTCTGTTTCTTTTATGCTTTAACTTTTAGGGAAAATGTGAAAAATTAAGAAACAAAGTCTTTGTGCTATTTAGTTGTCTGTTACATCAGATAAATGAAAGAATGATAGCTTTGCTATCTAGTCGTCTATTACGTCACATAAGGGATTATAAGTCAACGAGTCTTGCAATAATTGAGTGCTAGATAGTTAAGCCAAAAAAGGTACCTTGCAGCTCTTTGCTCTCAAGCTAGCTTTTGGGTTGAGTCAAGTCCAGGTGCCATATCTTTACATAGTGCAAAATGAGAAGAGAAAAATGGTGCCCCCAAGGCCTAGCTCGAGTGGCAAAAGGTGGAGGATTTGTGACTTAGGTCGCAAGTTCAATCCCCACACCATGCAAAGTGAAGCCCGGCATTTTAAGTGGAGAAGGGTAGAGGGGCGGGCCCATTATCCACCGAGTTTAGAACGTTGTGATTGGTCCAAAGGGCGGGTCGCAGATGGATTTCTTGGTTATAAAAAAAAAAAAAAAAAAAGAAGAGAAAAATGGTACTTTTGAGAACAGAACCGGTGACACTGTCTATGAAAGGCCACTTGTTTCCTCTGCCTAAGCAAGAGATTCGTGAAAGAACTTGGGTATGCAATAATTCATTTCTTTTTAAATTTCATTTCGAAATATAATCACATTTTTCGTTTTCTGACCAAGAGATGACCCGAAAAACAAATTGCAGATGAATGGAAAGATAACTTTGCCAAAACAGGTGGATGAAAGAAGCCTCGATATCCAATGTAGCTCCAACTCTCGAGTTCAAGCAATTTCCCTCCCCACCATCAAGTTCTACTGAACTAGAAGAGTAGTCTCCTTTGATATGTACTGTCAAATGTTACATGGTGGAAGCAGCTTGTTAAATACTGAAAATGGTCAATCCAGCATGCGGATTAAGTAGTTTGGAGGACTGAGTTTAGAGCAACTCCAGTTTTAACGGAACAAAAGAGGTACTTCTTTTGAAGGGAAATGCGAAACATAAGATGTCGTGATCATTGCAGATTAGGCAAAGGTTTGTTATTCCCAAAGGTAGACGCTGATCCATGGCTACAAAAATTACTAATAGTTCAGTTTTTACTTTTGGAGAAATCTTTCTTTTAACTTTTAAATTTTTTATGGTAGGGATCGGAGTTGGGTAAAAAAAACGAAATAATTGATGTGGGCTAGACAGTGCAGGAAGCTGGAGTTCGAGGTGAAGTTGAGGTTTGTTCACTCTCCTGAAGGTGTAGAAAAGCAACAAAATTTGTGTTAACTTGCTCATTACATCGGATAATAACAGAATACTAATTGTAGCAGAGATAAAGGCTTATGATTTTTCTAATTTCTTGAAAAATATTGAGTCCTTGAGTATCATACCAAATGTTACGTAGAAGCCTTTTCCTCTCAAAACTGCATGCACCAATTCAGGGTTAGATGTGATGTGATCGTTTCAAATTAAGAATGTACATGATCTTTTTTATCCAACTGTCTGTTGTTTCTTGTTGAAATCGATCTTGATAAAGTAATACAAACATCTATATCTCCATTACTTTAAATTGTTTTTAACAAGTTCTAGTTTTTTCCCATCCAGTGTATGGTACCCGTCATAGGGGCTCCGGTTAATGCAGTTTAAATAACAGCTTGTTGGAACTGATTAACAGTTTTGGTCCTTTTAAGTTTGTCAAATGTTAATCCATAAATTATTTATCAAACACTTTTTGATAGATTTAAACAGAAACAACGGGAAAAATATTTAACTTTAAACATCAAGAAAGTCCCCTCAAAATATTAAACATGCAACACAAAAGACTACATTGGACACTAAAAAAATATAGAAAACAACAAAAGTTATACTAAAAAAACTCCACCAGACTCTAGAAATAAATTAAAAATAGGAAAAACTATCGGAATTATACCTTTAAATGTGAGTTTCTCCTAAATTACATTTGTGTTAGCATCTTCTTCTTTGTAGGACCCATAGTATTTTTTCCTTTTAAATCTCACTTGAAACAATTATTTTTTCCTTTTAAAAAAGAGCTTTTGTTGTTTAACTTTTGGACCCTCTTTGTGAAATTCCTGGCTCCGCCACTGGTGATTCTGCCTGTGAAAGGCACTTTGTAACAGAACAACTCGACTCTTGGCCTGAGAAAGAATTTGGGTATTCAATAATTCATTCTATTTGAATTTTGTCGAAATATAATCACATACTCTTCCGTTTGCAGATGAATTTGCGCAACAAGAAAATGGTCACTCTAGCAGGCGGATTAAGTAGTCCAGAGCAATTCCAGCTATATATATTGCTCAAATTCTCCAAAAATGTTGTCACACTCTTGTCGAATCCTCAGCTTTTGGAGGATTCAACACGTATCCATTGATATTTTTAGAGAGTCTGAGCAACATAGAATTCCTGTACTACTTTTAGTGTAGTACTTTTTTTTTCATTAATAAATAAAAGAACCTTCGAAGAGAAGAGTACAAGCAATGAGGGCTAGACCTTACCTTACCGAACCTATTGCAATAATAAACCTCTACTACTTAACAACCATGAAGAAAAAAAAAACTAGAGAAAACTAGGTATTCTATGATCATCGTAGAGTTTATAGTATTTTCTATAATGATATTACAAATGAAGATACTTAAGTAATGCAAGAATATAAAAGTTAAGAATGAGATTGAGTTATTAGCCTCAAACTTCAATTTATATATGTATGAACTAAAAAAGATAGTTTGCTCGTCAAAAGTAACCTGAAGTAGTACTCAATGTTGGTTGTCTTAGAATATATTTTCTATTTTATTTTTTGGTTTTTTATCTAGTGTCTCATACCGCATTAGAGCTCGACTATTCTGAATTCACGCCACGTAGGGCCTCATTTGGAGAAAAGCGCTCCCTACCAAAGATTTTTCTATATCCAGGATTCGAACTCTAAATATGTGGTTAAGTGAGGAGCAGCCCCATCCGCTCCACCACATCCTTTGTGGTTTTTTAGAATGTATGGTAAAATATTACACTAGACGCAAAAAGTTTTTTGAAAAAATAGCAATAATTACATCATCCATTCAAGTAGGAGTTTTTAAAGTCAAAGTCGTCTGCTTTTTGTGTAATTAAAGACAAATTTAAATTTATTTTTTCAAACATATTTTCCTCTTGTATTTTTAGCTGTCCATTGTGTATGTATTATTGTGAAGTTTTCGTGCAGCGTGGGTAGGTGGTCTTAGGAGGAATTTTTTAAAGCTTTTGTCCTCGTCTGGTCTTTTTATATAGTTGTTGATTCTTCTTTTCCATTCAAGTAGAGTCCTTAATTTCTATATTAACTTCATACAAAATTAAAGATTAGTGTTAAAAACACGTTTTCTTTTGCTCTTTTGTTATGTGTGTGGGGGGGTGTTTCACATTCTACGTCTCTTTTTCCTATTTAAACTATCATTATTTACGTATTAAAGTATATCTACTTGAGTAGATAATGATAGTTCGAAAAGTAACAACTGATACTTAATCTAGTTAGTTTCAAGGTGAGTGTTAAGAACAATATTTTAAAAAAATATATTTTTGATCAATTAAACATAAGAAAATCAAACATTTTTTTGAACATATTTTCCTCCTTACAAACACATCCACTTGTATTTGTAGTTGTCCATTGTTTATGTATTATTGTGAAGTTTTGGTGTAGGGTGGGTAGGTGGTCTTTGGAGGAATTTTCTACTTCTTTTAATTAATAAAAATAGCCATAAACTTTTGTCCTCCTCTAGTCTTTATTTATTTTTGTTGATTCTTTTTTTTTCCCATTCAAGTAGGGCCATGTAATTCACTATTTCTTTCTCACAAACTTTCCTTCTTCTTTTTTAATTGTTTAAGGAATTTGCTAATAACAGCATTCCTTGAAAAGTGGTGTCTAGTCGTCTAATAAATGGTACTCTCACTTTTTTCCAATTTATACTTTTTTTTTTGGTCAACATCTTCTCTTCTTTCTTTTTTAACTAGTATATGTTCCCGTGCAATGTTGATAAATGTAATCCTAACTATTAATTTATTAACAATTTCAAAATTTATCTAATAATTAAATAATATTATCAAACAAATACTAAACTTTAAATATGTGTAGATAATAATTGTAATAATATCTCAAAAATAAAAATTCAAATCCAGCGAACTCACATATCAATCATCCTGCATAAATAAAACTTAAAATGTTACCTTTTCATATTTTGAAATATGATAATGATTTGTGCATAATTATTGGTTAACACTATATATTTAAGGAATAAAAATATGAAGAGTAAAATAAAGAGATTCTATATATCCTTGTCTATTACTTTTCGTATATTATAATTTCCAAAAAGAATTATAAAATTTTCTCACTCATGAAATTTAATTTAATTTTACACTTGTATTCTACTTTCGAAAAAAAAAACATTTTATTCCTTAATTGATTTACAATATCTTTTAGCGTTATTCAAGTTTTTAATTTAATTTATTTTCTGAAATTAATTCAATATATATATATATATATTTCAGAACAACTCAACTCTGTTACTTCATTTTTATATTTCGGGAAATCTCTACCTTAAAAACCAAAAACTTAATGTGGGACGCGTTAGTTTTAATACTTCTGCATCAATAAACAAAAACTATGTATATGAAGGTCTTGAATATCGTTGGAGTCGTAGATGTTGTCAACAGAGAAGGGACTCATCGAGCTGCAACGATACAGTAAGGAGTGCACATCTCACTAATTAATTGCATTTAACTACTCAAATCTAAGGAGCTGTCTGTTGCCTAGCTTGTTGACTTCAATCTTTATGAAAGCAATAAGTAACGTCTATGTTTTACTGTATGCAGTGCAAACTTGGAGTTTCGCGTTATACTGCATATGAAGGGCACATATTTCCTCTGCCTGAGAAAGAGATTCGCAAAAGAACTTGTGTATGTAATAATCCGTTCTCTTATATATTAGTAAAGGTGACACGACATCTCTCTTACACCAGCTAACGGAGCAAAAGGAACTATTTCCAGGAATCAAACGTATTCCACTGGAGTTGTGTGAATTAGAATTAGAGTTGTCAAAAGAGATGAACCTACCTATCATTGCTATCAGAAACATTGAATTATGATATTGAATTTTCTCTTCTTTTTTTAAAAATTATTCATCTTGCTGGCAAAAGGAACTAAAAATCTCCTATTTTTTTAGCAAATTTACCGCTAGATAAAGTGTCCATCAATCTTTTATTAAAAATAAAAAGATATCAATAAGAATAAGTACAAGTAAGGGATTTGAAAAAAAAAGAGTACAAGTAAGGGAGGCTAGACATTACCTTACCAATTTGACTTGAAACATCATATCGATTTTATTGATATCCATTAGAACTCACTTTAGAATCAAAACATTTCTCAAGAAAAATAATCTAAAAAGAAAGACATAAAGTGAAACTTTACCTAACAAATTGTGGGCCTTGTTTTTTTGAAATGGTAAGCTAATGTCCTAGCAATTTCTTTGTGACTGGTCAAGCATGAATAGTAGACCTCATTGTATTGAAGATAAATAACCGGTCAAAAAAATTACTATAATAAATATGTACATTAGTAGAAGTAGGTAGGAAATTTCTTGAAAACTTTAATGCAATATGCACACAATTAATGAACACTAAAAGTACAAGCAAATAAAAGTGCAAAGAAAAAAGAAGGGTAATTTTTATGTCACCGACAACACGACTTGACTTCATCAATTCATTGCGAAGTCAAGTCTAATTCACTTTATAGTTTATAGTTTCAACCATAAATACTAATTCACCTTATAATTTGAAATAATTACATAGTGTCTTACTAATTAATAATTTTGTACAAAATTTTAAGTCATAGAAATTTAAGAGATGGTGAAACGTACTCATATATATTCAATTGCGATAGATTTTTTTTTTTTTTTTTTTTTTTTTAAATAGCGTTAAGATACAGAAGCAAGCTTTTATGTCCAGACGATACTAGAAAGGTAGCAATATCAGAGTAAAGGAAATACCATAGTGAGTACAAGAATCCAATCACAACACATATAGTTGAATAGCAGTTATCTAGAACAACTGCAACTGCAAGAGAAAGTAAACAAGTTTTGGTTCTTCTACTTAATACATATTTTTTAGAAACTCTGAAAACATACACCAATACCATCTGCAGCTACTTAGGGCCAATGTCCTTGATACCACAAATCTGTTCCTCTCCCATGGCAGACATCACTGACAGAACCATTGGATTTGTGGGCCGAAATTTCTTAGAACATATTTTTATTTTTATTTTTGGTTTTTTGATCCGATGTCCGGTACCCGCATTGGAGCTCGACTATTCTAAATTCGCGTCACGTAGGGCCCATTTGGAGGAAAAGCACTCCACACCAAGAATTTTTCCATACCGAAGGCTCGAACCCGAAACCTCTGATTAAGTGAGGAGCAACCTTATAATCCGCTCCACCACATCCTTTGATGGTTTTTTAGAATGTATGGTAAAAAATTACACTAGACACAAAAAACTTTTTTGAAAAAATATCAATAATTACATCTTCCATTCCAGTAGAGTTTTTAAAGTCAAAGTCGTCTTTGCTTCCTCTAAAATAAAAGACAAATTTCAATCAATTTTTGGCAGAGAGGATAAAGGGAGGTTGGTGTTTGTACTTGAGGAGCAATAAATACCGTAGCGGAGTTAGAAATTTAGCAAAAGGTATGCAAATATTTTTCTTAGTTATGTTAAGGGTGTAAAAAATTAAGAATAATGCTAAATGGCCAGAAAATTTGGCCAAAAATTTAAAATTTTTATAATATCTTTTTTATTTTAAAATAAACTGATCTTTTTTTTTAATTAAAATGTATTATAGTTAAAAGGGTAAAAATATTCAAAAAGGTAGAATTACATAGGTAAAATACCATTCTGGTCAAATTCTGTCCACATTTTCTGGCCAAAAAGATTTTTCCAAAAATTAAATATACACTTATAATAATAGAGTAATATTTAATCTTAATATACCACATAATTTTCTAGCGATGTGTGTGCACCAAACCACCCTTCACGCAAAGTGGCTCCGCTCATTACAATAATTCTATTTAACTTCTCCAAATATTTTGTTTCTTCTCATTTGGGATACTCTTTTTCTTTGAAGCTTCATCCTATTGTACTTTTAGCTGTCCATTTTGTAGTCCAGAGCAATAAGGGCAAGTTTTTTTTTGTTTTTTTTGGCCAAAATTCCAAAAGAACAACAAAAAAGATTAAAGAGCAAAGGGGTAAAGGCACATGATCCCCACACCATAACCCAATTTTTTTAACGCGGTTAACAATGTAAAAAGAAAGGCACGTGTGAGGCCACGCCTTGTAAGGCGCATGGCTCTCACACCTAGTAGTGGAGTCGGAAATTTTATTAAGGGTGTTCAAGAATAATTGTGTGTGACTGTCAAAATAAAATTAAAAAAAAATATTGTGCTATTTGGGTTCAAACCCGAAACTCCATCATTCAATTGGACACTCATTACCATTGCGCCAAATGCATAACTTTTATCAAGGGTGTCCAACTTTAAATATATATCCTTTAAATGTAGAATTTGACATATATATACAACGTTATTTTCCGAAGAAGGATGTCCAACTTTAAATATATATCAGTATGATGAAATAATACATTTCAAAATGTTAATCAAAGTTCATATGGTTTGACTCTAAACAAAAAACTATGACAAGCAAATAGGAACAAAGGGAGTAAATTAAAAAATGGTAATGCTAAATGGCTAAAAAATTTGGCCAGAAATTTTAAAATTCTATAATATCCTTTTTATTTTAAATAAACTGATTTTTTTTAAAATTAAAATGCATTAAAGTTAAAAGGGTAAAAATGTTCAAAAAAGTAAAATAATATAGTGTGAAATATGTTATTTTACCATTCTGGCCAAAAGAATTTTTCCTATGTGTATATTTACTCTACTAAACACACCCCAAATCCTAAATTTGGTGTAAAATTTGGTGTTTTGAGCTCCAACCCACACCAATTTTTACACCAAATTTGGTGTGTGAATAGTGTTACACCAAATTTGGTGTAACACTATTCACACACCAAATTTGGTGTAAAAATTGGTGTGGGTTGGAGCTCAAAACACCAAATTTTACACCAAATTTAGGATTTGGGGTGTGTTTAGTAGAGTAAATATACACATAGGAAAAATTCTTTTGGCCAGAATGGTAAAATAACATATTTCACACTATATTATTTTACTTTTTTGAACATTTTTACCCTTTTAACTTTAATACATTTTAATTAAAAAAAATGAATCAGTTTATTTAAAATAAAAAGGATATTATAGAATTTTAAAATTTCTGGCCAAATTTTTTAGCCATTTAGCATTACCATTTTTTAATTTACTCCCTTTGTTCCTATTTGCTTGTCATAGTTTTTTGTTTAGAGTCAAACCATATGAACTTTGATTAACATTTTGAAATGTATTATTTCATCATACTGATATATATTTAAAGTTGGACATCCTTCTTCGGAAAATAACGTTGTATATATATGTCAAATTCTACATTTAAATAGGACCATCACATTTTTGGAGAAAAGAAGTGCTACATGATATATTAACTTCATGCACAACATGATAATTGAGGATGAATGTGATCTTAATGCACCAATTCAAGATGCGTCGAAAGGTCCAACTCCGACCGTGGAAATGGCAATAGATGAAAATTATCAATTTCAACAATTTCTAGCTCGATATAAAAAAATAAAGGACAAAGAAGCTCATTTTAAACTACGTAATGCATAATAGAGCATTTATGAGAGCATAGTAGTAATCTTGAAAGTTGAATATTTATGTAGAATTTAAAATAATGTTTTCAATTATATAATTTTTATTTAATTGTATTTCATTAATGATTTCACTTTTATTTGTATTATCCATTATTATGTATAATGTATAATATTTGCTAGTAATTTATATTATTTGAAAAATTATGGTACAAAATAATTTTATATTAAACGATTATAAAAGGAAATAATATGAATTATATATGGTGAATGTTTTAGAAAGAATTTGTTTTATGAAATAAGAAAATATAAATGAAATAAAAAATAATAATATAATAATGAAGAGAGAGAAAAATTTATTCCTTTTTGTTATAAAATTTGATGCAATGGATTAGAGTTGATTACACAAAAAATAGTGCTAACACCAAATTTGATGTAAAATTTGGTTTGCCTCTTCGGTCTTTTTCAGTTTTTATTGTCCTTTTGCTAGTTGGGTGACGTTTTCCCAATTTTTGTTGGAATTCGTTAACTTCATGCACAATTGTCAGCACTTTAATCCATGTGTCACAATCAAATATAAATGCGTGGAAGGCGTGAAGAAATTTCCTACTACTTACTATGGATGAGTAATATTCAATGTAAATGTATTAGTTGACTACTGAGAGATGAAGATACTCATAAAACAATTACGCGTTATTTGTACGAACTTTTAACAAAGAGGAGAATAGTCACCTTTTTTATTTAAATTGATAAAAGGCTAGAGAATGGCGATTTCTAGAAGAACTCTTGAAAGCTTTCAAAGACTCTCAAGTTGCCCTCATCATTTTCCCTTAAATAATTAATGCGTTGACTAAGTAGACAGACATTAAGAAATTTCCTGTTAATATTATTAGTTGACTGGAATGTTTATTTCTTCTTTCCTCTATATAACTAATTTGTTCATCATTCAATTGATCTCATCCGATCCATAGACTTTAGTTTTTCTTTTCAGACAATTAATTGAATCTATGGCATCATCTTCTTCTGCGAGTAATTCACAATACTGTCCTCGATGGAAGTACGGTGTCTTTCTAAGTTTCAGAGGAGATGATACCCGGAATAATTTTACGAGTCACTTGTACAAAGGTTTGAAAAATAGGGGAATATTCACCTTTCTAGATGATGAAAGGCTAGAGGATGGCGATTCCATCTCAGAAGAACTCGTGCAAGCGATAGAAGAGTCTCAAGTTGCTGTAATCATTTTCTCAAAAAATTATGCTATGTCAAGGTGGTGCTTGAATGAACTAGTGAAGATTATGGAATGCAAGGAGAAAGAAAATGGACAAACAGTTATACCGGTCTTCTATTATGTGGATCCATCACATATTCGATACCAAATTGAGAGCTTTGCAGAAGCATTTGCCAAACACGAATCGAGGTATAAGGATAATGTTGAAGGGATGCAGAAGGTTCAAGGATGGAGGAATGCTCTAACTGTTGCCGCAGATCTAAAGGGACATGATATTGATGACAAGTGAGTTGGAAACAAATAATTGCTTTTGATGAAAAAAAATAACAATATGTTTCTATATATTACCCTGAATTATAATGTTTCCTATTTAATACGCTATTGAACATTAAAATTATGAAAATACTTTCTAATACTTGACTTGTTCACATTGTCAACAATGAATCTCTAATTTATGTAGGATTAATCAATCGATGAAAATTGATCAGATCGTCGACCACATCTCTTCCAAACTTTGCAAGAGTGCTAGTTTATCTAATTTGCAAGATGTTGTGGGAATAAATGCTCATTTAGAGAAACTAACATCCCTACTTCAAATAGAAATCAATAATGTTCGGATTGTAGGAATTTGGGGAACAGGCGGAATTGGTAAAACGACGATAGCAACAACCATCTTTGATAATCTATCTGATCAATTTGATGCAGCTTGTTTTCTAGGGGATGTTAAAGAAAAAGCAAGAGAGAATCAATTACATTCTTTACAAAATATCCTTCTCTCTAAACTGTTAAGAAAAAAAGATGATTATGTCGATAATAAGTATGCTGGGAAGAGCATGATTAAGCGCAGACTTTGTTCTATGAAGGTGTTGATTGTGCTTGATGACATAGATCATGGTGATCATTTGGAGTATTTAGCAGGTGATGTTGATTGGTTTGGTAATGGAAGCAGAGTTATTGTAACAACTAGAAATAGAAAACTGATAGAGAATAATGATGCAATATATGAAGTGCGTACACTACCTGATCATGAAGCTATGCAATTGTTCAATCAACATGCTTTCAAAAAAGAAGTTCCAGATGCGTGTTTTAAGAATTTCTCGTTGGAAGTGGTAAATTACGCTAAAGGCCTTCCTTTAGCCCTCAAGGTGTGGGGTTCTATGTTGCATAAGAAAGGCGTAGATAAGTGGGAAAAAATTGTAGACAAAATAAAGAAGAAGTCTAATTCAGAAATTGTTGAAAAACTCAAAATAAGTTATGATGGGTTGGAGCGCGAAGAGCAAAAGGTATTTCTTGATATCATATGTTTCTTCCGTTGCCATGGAAGAGAAGCAGTCATACAAATTGTTGAGACCTACAATTCTGGAGCTGAAGACATATTGGATGTCCTAATTGACAAATCCCTTGTGTTCATCACTGAAAATAATAGAGTTGAAATGCATGACTTGATTCAAGATATGGGCAAATACATAGTGAAAATGCAAAAAGATTCTGGAAATTATAGTAGAATATGGAATGTTGAAGATTTCGAAGATGTGATGATGAACAATATGGTAAGTAAGCTAAACAAAATGCAATAGTATTCATATTTCAAAGATATATATATATATATATATATATATATATACTCTGTTCCTCTAGCTTCATATACTGACGCACAAGTCATTTAAGTTGTTTCAAATCCACACTACCTAGTTTGTTTATCTCATGTTAATAAGTTATGAATTATTCTAATAGCCACTTAATATATTTAATCTTATATCATTCTTTGGATTAACTTGAAATTTATATAGTATTTAATTTGTTCATACTAATTTAATCAATAATTTTTTAAAAGCTAATATCACCCATTTATTTACCCTAAGTAATTTTTTATTAGTAAAAATTTAGTAATGAAAAAATAAAATTTAGGAGGGCCAATACTTACCTTACTAATTCAATGATCGATTATTTTTTTTCTCATTTAAAAGATGACAGTTATTGGCATTATTTCAGTTACCATTTTGTTTTATGAGCGCATGAAAAACTTTTTAACTTGAGTCTAATAAAATTCTCAAAAAGTGTATCATTAACAAATAAAATTAACTACGCAAAGCATTTCTCTTAACTAATATTTGTACCTAAAATTTTATTTGATGGTGGTGGCTCTTCAAGTACAATAATAAATAATATAAAACATTATAAAAATTAGCATTCGGGGGTAGAGTAAGAAAACAATGATATTGATAAGTGGATTGTACATGACATGTTGATTCATGATTTTTTATAGGGGACAACGGAAATGGAAATAATCTGGTTATGTATATCTAAAAAACTAAACTTTAGCAAAGAGGCAATGAAAAATATGCAAAGGCTTAGGATATTACACATACGGCTTTATCCATGGGCTTCCCTAAGTGATTCAGAAGATGACTCTATTGAGTACCTGCCCAACAACTTGTGTTGGTTTGATTGGCGTCATTATACTTGGAAGTTATTGCCAGAAAATTTTAATCCCAGAAGGCTTGTTAATCTTGATCTCCAGAAGAGTTCATTGCATTATTTGTGGAAGGAAACAGAGGTACCATTCTATTTTCAGATACTTTCTATTTTTAATTGTCCTAGAGTTATAATTGTTCTCATATTAACCTCTGTGAATTGCATTTCCAACCTCTGCATCTAAAGAAGACACAATAAAAATATGTTGGCACAATTGAGTTCTGTGAAAATATTATATAAGGTATGAGTTATATCAAATCACATTGTAATGAGTATCACAAACTTTTCAACAAAAAATTATATAATTTGAAATATATGAACAGTCAATTTATTTAAATAACTTCTTTATCGTATGCAAAATGATTAAACATTCCATGAACCTGCAAAATTTGGACAACAAAACTTGGTTTGGTAATTAAAGTAATGATTAATTTTTATGTTATTAGGTCCAAAAATGTGATATATAACAAGTAACCATACCAAAATGAGTATACAAAGATGATTAAATGGCTCCGATTTGACTGCAAAAGAAAATTTCTACATACCTTAATTTTTATGTTGTAGTTATCAACTATTATTTCATTCAATGACCGTTGAGAATTAGGAACATTCTTAATGTTCATTTATACAAGAATTTAGCTTAAATTCATCATTGATACTAATTGTTAACCAAAGGAAATCAAAAAGTTTGACAATTAATAGGATTTAATTAAATCATATATATCCTCTATTAAATATTAATGTTTACGTTATCTATCATTTGGCAAGTCATCACCAGAGGAATTAAGAGGAATTAAGATTCTTGTTAAGATGATGAATGTATGTTATGTGAAGCTTTTTATCATTAAATATATATGATAAGTAGTCTTTAATATAATATCATTAGATAAGACATCCTCTTTTAATATTATCATTTTTATTTATACTAATATAGCCTAGTTCTAATATTTGTAACGTCTTTTTTAAAAATAAAACATAAGCACAACCAAAAATCTTAAGAATAAACAAAGAAAATTGAAATGCTAATTCTGAATTTGGAAGGAAAAAAAAACATGAGATATATTTCTACTAATATGTATAGTGACTTTTAAAATTCTTTTTTTTTAGCATTGTTAACTATGAAAAAGTTTGAATAGTTATGATAGTACGTTTTGGGCTTCTCCTCATTAGTTAGTAATAGAACAGTTGAAAGATTGGAATAATAATAATGACTTTTAGATTATTATAATTTATAAGCAATAAAAAAAATAGCTTATAAATTAAAAACAAATAGGATTCTTCATATATATATAATCAGCAATTTAAGATTAATTTAGTAATTCAATTTTTAACTTTGTTGCTTATGCAATATTATTAGTAATAATTTGTTTTTCTTTAACAAAATATTGTTTTCCTTCTTTTGCTTGCCATTCTTCTATGCCTTTTTTTGTTTTTTTTCAATCGAAGGGATAGTACTGTTTTGCATAAAAACTATTAAATTCAGCACATACATAGTCAATACTTAGACCTTAATATCATAAGAAAACCACTTCATAATCATAAGTAACCTCCAAGTCTACTTGTGCAATGCATGGATAAGACCCCATAATCCATCCATGCTAAGTATCCCCTTTGGTCATCATAATCATACTTACCATCTCATGATCTCATCCTTAGCTTAATTCTCGTAAACAAGGGAACCTTCACCTTTAGTCAACATATCAAGGATGGCAACTATAGCAACAATCCAAGCTAAGCATACAACATATAAGAGAACATTTAATAAGTAGTTTCAAGTCATACTTGTGTGATGCATGGATAAGACCCCATAATCCTACCCATACTAAGTACCACTTTAGGCTATCATACTTAAATGATTACTATTCATCATTTCTAGACTACCAAGGAATAACACCCTATTAGGCTAGACCAAGCTACCAAAGGAATAGCACCATACTAGGCTAGACCATGCTACCACAGAAGGCATACTATCATGCAAGTCCAAGCTATACAAGGAAGGGTATTACAAGTGTTCCATCCTAGCAACCATGAAATAGTCTTGGACCAACTAAGTCATGCTACCTTGCTAGCATTATATGATATTGTTACCTGCGAGAAAAGATTAAGCCAGTAGATAAAACTTAGCATAAAGAAAATGAAATGATGAAATGCAAATATTAAGAAAGAAATTCAAATGTGGATAAAACTCCATGGTGGATTATGAACTCTATAGAAAGACTGCAGATCATGTGAAAAGATAGGGATAAATAATATTAAAAGTGGAAGGTACAATGAACAATAGTTCGGAGAAGATGTAAGAGCTTTTAACATATAATAATAATTAAGAAAAAATTATGTAATTAAAATATTATGATTTTATCAAATATTTAATAAAAAATTAATTTGGTGTAGGGAAATATTGTAATTCAACTTTGCATATTAGAGCTTTCTACTTTTAATAGTAGGATTATCTGGACACGTGCATTACACATATATCCCATATTATATGCTTGCATAATATATGTCTATATTTATAAATTTATGTATAATTTTTTTTTTTTAAACTTTTGATTGCAATATAAATTGGAAAACATGTATAAGATAAGAAATCAAAACAGATACCCTCAAATTTCAAACTATAAGCATAATAAGAATATGTATTTCTAATGAGTTTAATCAATCATGCCTCACAATAATCCCTGCAATTAATTGAGAAACTTTCAAACTATACACCAACATTCAATAGTATATATATAAAGAAAACATGAAATGCATAACAATAATTATATCTATATTTTTGAAAACACTATAAAGTCAATTTTCCTTTTGCATTATAATATGGATTGCACACAACTTCTATTAAAAAAGGAAGACAAAATTTAGGAAAAATAGTATCAATAAATTGGAAAGAAAAATGTAAAATTGTAATAAGAGGAAGAGAAGGAAAAATTAGTAGAATATATTTAACTAAACATAAATAAGGAAGTATGTTGAGTAAAAGAAGAGTAATGCAAAAGTGTGAGCTGATATATGGAGGAAATTGACAAATATAATAATTTGTATTGAATAATGAAAAGCCAAATCTTCAATTTCGACAAAAAAATTTATAACTACGGCTCAAGATAATATAATTTATTAATTTAATAAATGACATAAATAAATAACATACATTGTACGTATGAGTAGTTAATTGGGTAGTGAAAAAGACTCTTTCTGAAAGTATTTTTATTTCTTTAAAGTATTTTTTGTCACGCCCTGAGCCTACACCCTGGACGTGGCCGACACTCGAGAATCATTGCTGGCCCCATGTGAACCCTTGGCTTGGCTTACTTACTCAGCGAAAGACTTTACTAAAGATAAATATACTTTTAAAAAATAAACTGAACTGCTCAATAATAACTTAGAATGTAATAAATATCATTCACTACCAAAGTGGCAACTCAAGTCTCAACTTAACTGAAAAGGGAAAGTAAAGACTCATGAACTAACATCAACTAACTCTGTCTATGAAGCCTCTAAACAACTGAGATGGATGTCGGGACAAGACCCATGACATCCTAATGAACTAAAATATTGAAAGCAAAAAAAAGGATCCTCCGAAAAGTTAGAAGGCTCACCAACTGACTCTCAGTGCTCAACTGGATCAACGAGGCGATGGATGTTGATCCTGGTTACCTGTGTCTGCATGCATCATAAGAAGATGCAGGCCAACTGGCATCAGTACATTGAATGTACGAGTATGCGAGGGGAATTCTAAAACAAGACATAAGCTTGAAAGGAACTGAAGAACTTACCTGGCTCAACTCAACTCAACTCAACTGATTTCAATATAAAACAATGTAAATAAAAGCAGTATAAAGAACAACTTTAAAACATGGTTTTCAACTCTGTGTATTTAGAAATACAATAATAACTCTGCATGTATGCAAATATACAATATGAACTCTGTTTGTATATGAAAATACAAATATTTCTGATGTATATAAAATACAAAATACCGTTGTGGGAGTTTCTCTAACCGACAACCATCAATTAAGAGCTATCGTGATGATACAACATTTTACCTCACACTGCCAGGGACGTCTTATACCTTGTCGGGGGTATAAAACTTGAACTACTAAGTGGATCCACTAGTCTTATGCTAAAAAAGCACTAAAGGAATTATCTAAAAAGTATGACCCTTTTCTATCCATGATAGCTACATGGTTTATGGCGGCTCGGAGTTTTCTGAACTCTCCTCTATATCGGTGCTCAATACTACTCCCAAAATATACTAGCTCTTTATGTTTAAAAACACAACTTCTTTCTGTGGTTTGAGATAATTGCTCAAAACTTAGCTCAAAGGCTATCTCGAAAATCTCAGTTTCCTCTCTTGCTTAATTGTGAAAGCATTTACTCTTTACTGAAAACTAGCTCAAAGGTTCTTTTTGGAAATAAAAGTTTCCTTTCTTGCTCAAATGTGAAAACATTTACTTTTTAACTGAAAACTAGCTCAAAGGCTCTTTTACTTTAAGAACTTCTCTTGACTTGGATCTTAACTTCTCTTGACTTGGATCTTAACTTCTCTTGACTTGGATCTTAACTTCTCTTGACTTGGATCTTAACTTCTCTTGACTTGGATCTTAACTTCTCTTGACTTGGATCTTAACTTCTCTTGACTTGGATCTTAACTTCTCTTGACTTGGATCTTAACTTCTCTTGACTTGGATCTTAACTTCTCTTGACTTGGATCTTAACTTCTCTTGACTTGACTCTTAACTTTCCTTGAATTGAATTATGGATTCAAGGATTGTGATTTGTGATAGGGAAGATCTCATGATGTTTAGGAGTGATTTTAGATAGCTAAACATAAGAAAAGATCAAGAAATCACTGCCTGGAAACTAGTCCGCGACGCTGAGGTGTATTTAAATTTTTGGTCGCGAAAATAATTTCTGAGGCAGAACAATCCGTGACCGCTCCGCGACGCGAGGAAGGATTTTCCAAATCTGAGGAACAGGTCCGCGACGTGGACCTGGTACCCAGATTCTGCCGACTTGTTCCTTCTTCGTTTTCTAGCCCCAATTTGCCTAAACTCGGTTTTTTGTCTCCATATCACTTTAAATTCAGGTACCCACAACATATACACAAGAATCTAACTCAAAACAACTCTAATAATTGATCTTAAACTCTCAAGAACTCCTCAATCTCATCCCAAATTCAAGAACCAAAACAATTTAAGAATACAACTCAAAAACATCAAATTCTCAATCTTTTTTAGGACGAAATTACACTGAATAAAACATGTTTGGCGCGTGGGTGAACGAATCCAACGTTGTGTTGACTCACATACCTCAAGGGATCACCTCTTGACGAAATCCACGAGCCTAGTTTCAAGAACTTGATGATTCATTGCTCCTTCTCCTCTTCTTTTCTATTCTCTCATAATCCTAACTTGTTTCTCAAAAGCGTAAACTGAATCCAATCAGTTTAGACCCCAATTTTGGCCTCATTTGTTCTCATTAAGATTAAGATCTTTGAATCTAAATACACGTCTAAACATTAAGATTTGCATTAAGAGATAGGTGTCTAGATTTGAATACACATCCGAATAGTAAGATGTTGACTCCAAATCTGAATACTGAATGGTTATTATTTGTTTTCAATATCTGTATGTGCATATGAAATCAAATATTATATTAATAAAATGTTATAAAAAAATCATTTCAAAAAAAAAATTACTTTTTGATTAAAACAATAGCATAATCATCAAGCATAACATAAAGAAAATCACGAATAAAAATTATTTTATAGGCACAATATAATATCAAAAAGTTCAATAAGTATGATAAATACTAGTTGAAAAATAATAAATAAGGTATCACATTATCAGCGCCTAACATATATTTTGGCTAAATTAGAAAAACTAAAGAATTCTTATCTTTTTTCCGATAACCTCAATCCAATTCTCTAACTTGTGAACCTTTAACGCCATTCATACTTTTTTGTAGTGGACACTTTCACAAAATATACTAACACATGTA